GTGTGCGCGTGCGTGTGTGCGCGCGAGCACGTCAGCGAGCGTCTGAGCGCCCCCCCCCCACATGAAATCTTTGCTCTTTCTTTTAGTTATCATTACAAGAGACAGATCTTTGAGTTCTTTGTATCAGTTTGTATAGCCTCCTGTCATGTATGTGTCATTCATCTGCCCTTTCAGAATCACCACTGCTGCAGCACTGGCTGCGGAGACAGGTTTGATGCCATGGATTTGCTCCTTGCAGCTGAGACAAAAGCACCCATTTCACCCATTAGAGAATTCAATTGTAAAATCTTTTTTTTGTGTGTGTGTGTGTGTGTGTGTGACAGCTTTTACAGGTGCATCCCTTCATTTAATAATAGCCTAAAACCGTCTTCAGGTCCCAAAATAGTGGGAGTGTTTTTCACTGGGTGGGTATAAAGAAAGATTCTCAGCATTGCATCAAGCCTGCAGCCCTCTCTGGTTATTTAAAGAAAAGGATTGGAAGCATTTTTTTTTTTTGCGCCATGAGTGACATGCTGAAGTAGCCTTATGGCCATCCTTTATCGATAACGTGAATCCGATTAAAGCTGTCACAGACACAATGAAGAGACCTAACCATGAGCCAAACTGTAGTAGGATGATACAGGGCGGGTTAGTTTCTTGGAATTGCATCAGAGGCTTTTCTGCAACTGAATCCTAGGCCCCGCTGCATGTTTGGGTTTTCTAACCTTCAGCTCTTGCCTGCTTAAAAGAAAGTGATATGTTGTATTTCTATTCCAGATTCAGATTTATTGGATATTAAACTGCCCTATAGGCTGTAGCATACACACTATGACTTTACGAGGCATCAGAGGGACGACCTACTGTAAAATATTATGGCTTTTTGCATGTGGGCTGTTCCATCGACACCTGAGGATACATGGCGATTAGAGGAGACTCGCTGTTATTTCTTTCATAAAGCAGATGACTCTCCCTGGCGCTGTTTCTCGGATCTAGGATTCAGAGTAACCTGTTGTTATCTGGTGGAGAGATATTTTATCATTTAAACCTGTGTTGACAGTGCTGCTAGGTGCCATGCTGCTGCTTTCTTCAGTCATGTTGGCTAGATGTTGTAGGAAGCTGCAGGCTTTATTTACTGTGTTCATCCTGACTTATTTTCCTCCTTGTAAAAGCCTTTATACAATTAATCTTTATTTTTTTGATGTTTTTGGTAAAATATGTTAATATATTTTAAATATGTTAATATCTTTTACCATGGTTTGAGTACTGGTGTTTATTTTGTGAATATTGACAGATTCTGGCAGGCTACAGGCCAACTTTATCCTCCAACCACTTCAAAACAAAAAGAGTGGGAGATTCGAGAGAAGACGTATGACTTTTTTGACCTAATCCTCATGACTCCTGAGGGATTACAGGGTGGCCCACAATGGATCACTGCAGGCTTTCTTCTTTTGTTTCTTGCAAGAAGAGTCAACAGTTCATTTTCTGTTTCTTTGGGGATTTTTTTTTTTTTGAAAGAGTGCCTGTGAAAAAAAAAATAGGCACTTGCTTAGCTGGTGACGTCATCTGCTAGGCATACACATTGCCAAAAGCTTGGCTTCATAGAAACAATTAACAAACACTAGCTAACTGATATTGTAGCCACGTCCACTGTATGTTTTGTGTTGTGGTTCGACTTATGGCTAAAAGAACCTAGGTGACATTTTATTGTATTAATCTTTTTCAGCATATAAACTACAGGTTAACATACATAACCAAAGAGAGAGAGAATTAACAGTTTTGTTTCTCAGTTGATTCTAATTAAAAATATGGACCCTTTTTACTACACATTTTCTGTTACTGATGTAAATAAACCTTTAAAAGCATAACCACAACCAGTTGTTGCTGGTTATTATTCCTTTCAAAGAAAGACCTGTCAATTAATTTGCGAGTGACACCAGTAACCAGTGTTGGATTTTTGAATATATTAAATTTGTGGCACGACCATTACCTTTGCGTTTTTCAGCTCTTGTATGGTTAGTTCTAGTTTACCTGGGTACACCCCTGTCCTGTGTGAACATGTATATGTTGTTGTGTCGTACCAGGCCTGGTCTGAGGCTGATAGCCAGAGCATCTGCCTCAGCTTCCTCAAATGCCGGTGTTCCCTGGCAGGGGCCAGGCTGAATGGCACCGTTAAAAGAAAACCAGCCCCTCTGTGACCACATGCTGAAAAACCACTCGGCACAACCCTGTCCCAGCTGACGATTTCTCATGCTTTCCATATGGGTAAAATCTTGGTAATTTCAGGGCCCTGGAGTTCTAATGAGAGGTTTTGCCCATAGTGTGTTGGTCTGTGGTGGGCGGGATCAGCGTTTCTCTGGTTTATAGTGGATTATAACTGCCCTGAGATGCCTCACTGGCCCACTGTCAGGGCGTTGGCACAGAGAAACCTAGAACTCTTTTTAACCAGGCAAACTGGTTCAGACTGGTTGTGATGGGGCTCTTTGGTATGGGGGTTACAGGAGCCAGGCTACAACCTAAAGTTTACATTCAAGGCTGCAAATTAGGTCAGTTCCTGTAGGTTTCGAGAGTCAGATTCAGCTACAGAAACAGTGTGCAGATCAGGAGGCTTTACTCTTGCATCTATAGGGACACTGCAAGCAACTACTATTGTCCTGTTTAGCATCCCATCCCCACATAGAGACAGGGTGCTCTTAGGAACACGCTTGGTGGATTTTTAACAATGCTTGTTCCGTAACGTCAGCAGCATAGAGGCAAAGAGTGATTTACTACTCCGTCTGCAAGGGTAATGTAGGAGCAATTTGACTGCTGATTGAAACCAGGTCTCCCATTTCAGAGTCCACTGGTGGCATTATAAACCATTTACACCAATGTTTTACAGGGCACCCCTGCAATGGGGAAAGTGGAAACAGACGCACGGCCTAAAAATGGCCTGCGCTACCACGAGAGGCCTATTTTTATCCATTCCTTGTGTGATTTGTTATTTTTACCTCAAAGTATGTTAGCGCTGCAGAGTGATATGGATGACATTAAAAGGTCGAATGTTAATCAGTTCTGTTTTCCATTTAAGCAGAAGGACCTCCTAGATATAGGGGGTCCGCCTGCTTTGGATTATGCAGCTTTTTCTGTAAGTGGTAGAGCTTTTTTTCTCCAGCCATTACGTGTAAATCAGAACTCTAGTCCAAAATCTGTGAAAATCGGCTCAGGCAATTTGCTGTTGAGACCTTGCGACATCTTTGCACTTGTTCTGTATCAACATATGTCAGAAAGTAGTCATTACGTAAATGGACCAAGGAGCCTTAATTACATTTTTACCACCTAAGCCTTAAACAACACAACTCATTACAGAGTCAAAGGGCTGCTGAAGTGCAAGAGCAGCAGACTTCTTTAGAAAGACTAACGAGTGAAGGATGTTTGAATTTGATGGCTGACCCTTTAGGATGTCTGTATTCTCTTAATGCCACTAGTAATGGCTAAACATTAGCTAACAACATTAACTGCAGCAGCTTCTTAGTAAAAGCCTTGCAGCAAAGATTGACTATGGCTTTATTGTGAAGCCACTACAGGATATGCTCAGTTACAGTCATTAGTGGTGCCATAGCTTAATTTTATTATGTTTAAAAGAAGTTTAAAGAGCGTCTAAATCTGCATTTGGATATTTTCAATTGTTGATTTTGATTACCAATAACCATTACATAAGTTATTAGGTGATGACATTAAGCATTAGAGCTGAATAACCGTTTTATATTTGCTGTATTGAATTCGATTTGTATGCACGTTCACAATGTAGAAATCAAAGCTGAGCAGCAGGTCCGTGTTTCAGGTCCTCAGTTTACGGCTTGCTGACAGCGCAAAAATACCACTGCTCTTTTTGCTGTTGAGAGATTTTCTGATGTGAGAAGTGGAACCTCAACTGTGGAATATCATACTCAAAATGTGCAGTTAGCTGCCCATTGGTATGCATAACAAAGCCTGTAGTGAGATGTAGAAACTGTTGCTATTCATCTGCTGTCCCTGTGATCTCACACGGTCCCAGATGGCTTTGCATTCTCGCCACACAGGCCATCTAATTATAACTTTTAACCAGCAAACACATAAAAGTGGATTGTTTACAGGTGTTGTAAGAGTTTTTTTATCCTATTATCCTCGTTTCCATAGAAGGATACCTGCATGTCTAGTTGCCCTTTTTGCTTCTCTCCACTGACATTTAAGAGTAATTATGTGAAGC